ACTCAATTCTATGCATTTGCTTTACATACATGCAATCCGTTGGCGAGTTTATTATCTGAGTTGCAGTTAGCAGGTGGAACCTGGTTGGGAGTATGTCACTGAAGTAGCAACCTGGAAGAATGTCTTCTAGCTGGTTCTTTCTCTTTTTTCTATGTCTCTGCTTTGTTGCATCATAAAGTGGGTAGCGTTCTTCCACCAGGTCTTTCCATCGGGGTTTCTACTTTGCAACCTATAGATTGAACCCACTAAACCTGTGAGCCAAAATAAACCTCTTCCTTTAAATTGTAGTTATTGAATGTTTGTTCCAGCAACAGGAAAGTGACTCAGACAGAAAATTGGTACCGGGAGTGGGGCTCTTGCTATGATTATACATGATCATATGGTTCAGAAGCATTTTGAATTATTCTGTGGATGAATTTGGAAAGATTTGGCGATACTGGATTGAGACATCTTAGAACACTGTAAGCAAAGATTAATGAGATGCTGGACCAGAATTCTAATAAGATACACACAGTAAAGTCCAGTTTCAGGAGTTTTCAAATGTGAGGGAAGACTCTAGAAACTGGACTTTATTCCCTATGTGCTATACCCTGGCAGAAAATTTGTCTTGTTTGCCCATCTCCTGCGACATTGAAGGAGACGGAAATCAAGTTAATGTACTAATTAATCTGCTGGGGGAAGCTTCAAGGCTAGCATTTAGTCTGTGGCGTTGGTACTGCTGGCTGCTTTTAGCCAGCTCTACAGTGACAGTCACAAGCAAGACAGACCAAAAGATAGAGAGTTTGCTGTTTTGCCGGAAAAGAATTGCTTGTAAGTTGGTGCAAATGAGAGGATGGTTTCTCAAAAGATTAGCATTAAAAATAAGCCAAATACTTTGTAGAGGGACAAAAAGCAAGGCCTTATCCATCACAAGTTCAAGGATGCAAAACTGTAAACCTTTTGTTACACCTGCCCAAAAGAGTCCCTTAAGAAATTAGTTCCCTGGTTGATTGTACTATGTTGCAGGCACTCAGATCTCTCGGTTCTTGTGCTCCAAGAGGCCCAGCCACTGACTGAGGTGTTGGCAGACCCCAGTGTCATCTGTGTGATACTAGCTCACTTTTAAGGTATGCAGAATGTAGGAGTTGTGGGCTTGTAGAGATTTCTACCCAGATTTCAAAGGATGGACTGGAATGCCAGGCTGGGTGCCTCTGGGAGGACAGCAAGTGAAGCTAAAAATACAGTGTAGACTTCAGGAAATTGGAGATCCCAGGAACATTTATCATCCGCTGAGAAAAACCACAGACAGTGGGCAGAGTCAGCCCAAGAGGTCATAAGAATTGCAACCAGCAATATCGTGGGGGCAGGACTACCCAAGTCCTTTGGACATCACATCTTGCTACTATCTGGCTGAAGTGCTGGACATGAAGCTATAAGATTTGCCCACTGATTTTAATTCTTGATTTCAAGCTTGCTTTTTCTTTTTATTGCCCCCTTTGGAAATGAGAGTATGTACCCTGTGCCATTGTGTATTGGAGATTTAACTTTCTTTTTCAGTTTTACAGGGGCTCTTTGAGTCTCGCAGAGGACTTTGGACTTAGACTTTTCAGCAATGCTGGCACTGTTACGACTTTGGCAACTCTTGGAGACATGTTAAAGCAGTGTACATAATGAGATGGATAACAGCCTTTTGGGGACCAGGGACAGAATGTTACAGTTTAGCTCTCAAATGTTACCCTAAAACTCCCTGTGTTTCAAAAGTTATTGGACCGTAGCAACACTGTACTCATCAGAGGATTCATTTCTTGACAAACTTAGTAGCTGAATGTGCTGTTAAGAGTGGGGTAGCTGGAGGTGTGTCCCTGGAAGAGAGAGACCTGAAAAGCTGTGTTCCTGCTTCTATGAGGTTTTTGTTTTCAAACAGAATAAAATCAAACAAAATGAAAAAGAGTAAAACCAATCAAAATGAAACAATGAGAGCGACACAGGACTTTAAAACAATAGAAAATTAATAATGGCTACCATAATATATCTTATCTTCAAAATAGCTGCTTATACCATTGGACATAATAGAATCTAACAAAACAAGATAGAATAAAACAAAACAAAACAATGAAAATGATACAGCACTTCAAAACAAGGTAAAGGAAATTAACAGTGCCAATCACCTTCCCTTTTTAGACAGTTCCTCACTTTCGAAATATCTGTTGTACATTTTGGGTCCCACTAACTTCAGTTGTTTTTTTTCTCTGTAATTTCAAAGGGAATAAAACAAACCAAAACAATGGTAAAACAGTAGGAAATCTACAATAGTTACTATATTGCATATTTTTGTCCTCTAAATAGTTGTTTGACTTTAGGCTTACAGAATAAATCAAACAATACAGTTGCTTCGAATCAGCTGGTTGCTCGTGATAGGGGTGCCAGCTGGTTCACAGGCAGTGGCTTAGCATCTATCTTGAATCTTCCCAATCAGTGCTCCAAAATGCTTGTAGGCAGGCACTTAGCTTCCATCTTGAGTCTCCCATGTCTGCACTCACAGGTGGGATCTTTGCTTCTTCCTTGTTATCCCTGATCTGCACTCCTGCTGACTCACAGGTGGGGGCTTAGCTTTTATCTTGTCTCCTATTCCTGTGTTTTGTCTCTTCCTCTTTTCTGTTTCCTAGCCACCATGAGGTGGGCAGCTTTTCTCCACAGTCAAGTTTGTGCCTTTGAGCCTTCCCATCACAGTCTGAACCTACTAAACCTAAGGGCCAAAATAAATTTCCTCTTTAATTTATGCGCTTGGGGTATTCTTTCCTGGCAGCAGAAGGTAACTGATACAGAGGTCAGTATATGGTTCCATTTTACCTGTACTCAGGATTCACAGGTCCAGGAATCAAGGGTAGGAAGTGGGAGTGATACCACTTAACATTACCCCTAGTGACCCAGTAGCAAAATTTTTGCTTTCTAATCTTGTGATCTTAAGCTCTTTTAGCCTAGAAGGCTTAGTACCAGAGGAAGAAAGGCTTCTACCAGGAAGCTCAATGGTTCCACTGAACTGGAAGCCAAGACGTACTTTTGGCCATTGTAAACCTTCAGAGCATTGAAATGAGAGTGTTACTCATACTTTATAGATGAAAAATTTGAGGAGATTAGTAATTTGCCCAAACACATTCAGTGACAAAATTCAACATTAGAGACTTTGACTTTAAAGTCCTCACTTCTTCCCCTTCCAGGGTTGTGTGCTCTGACCCTAAGCTGGGTGATGACTCCCATTCTATCTCTAGCGCAGATCTCACTTCTCATCTGCTGATCTGGATTATCTGGACTGCTTGGTTCACAATCCTCAGTGGAAAATCAAAAAGATGTGTAGTTTTCTATAAGCAGTATACCTGGAGATTAGGGAACTTTGTTTAAAAAGTGTAAAATGTTCCACCTGAAAGAGTGAAATAAGACTGTGGTCAACAAGGATCACATGTATGTAATATAATATAAAGCACAATTTAATACATGCTATGTTTAAGGAAAAGAAAATTCAAAACAAAGAGAAGAGTAGTAAAGGAAAATGGTGAAGGGAGAAAAGCAAGGCAGACAGAAGGACAAGATGGGGTGTTGCTACATGGACTCCTGTGAGTAGCCGCTGGAGATTATTAAGGTGCCACTTTCATAATCATGCTTGCTGGTAGGGACAGAATGAATACTTGACTCCTTGAATGTTGAAAGCAAGTAGGAGCTGGAGATATGAACGTGGCACCATTTTGTTGGCTAGTCTGCTGGAGGAAACCTCTGTTGATACAAGCTGGAGCTGTCATTTAATCTTTTCTTTATCCCCATCTGTATTCCCTGGGGGAGTAAGTTGGCCTTTCCCTTGAGACTAATGTGACAAAGAGTTGGGAAAAGCAGCAATGGGGTTCTCATTCTTCCAGAGCATCGATACCCCATCTCCATACAAGGTCATTTGGTGCCAGCTGTTTTCACTATTTAGTGTATGGTGATCTAAAAATGACAGATTAGCTTTGGTTAACAGGTATCTCAGCTGCATAATAGGACCCATGAAATGATTTTTTGATGCTGTCCCTCACACTCATACTCGTAGCCCTGGAAATAGACATCAGATTACGTACCTTCTCTTGTTGGCTTTTTTTTGTCCCATCCTTCCCTAACCCTCACCTCTATGGGTTAGGGACTTTCCTTAGTTACTCATGGATTCTAATTTAGAAAAAATCATGGACATGAAAGATACTTTGTTCAGGAAACTTCTAAAGAGAAACTTCTGGCACTGGATTAACTTTAGCCTCTGTTTTGCTGATTCAAAATGTTTTAGCCAAAACCTTGAAGTAAGATAAGAGACTTAAGAATTAATTCCAACTGCTAGAGTAACAAGCTGTGTGGCAGAGGCAGACTTCCAAATGGGACAGAACAAATGGCTGCTTTCCTTAGTGGGTAGTAGCCTTGAAAACCTGATTGGAATTAGTGTAGAAAATATTCTGAGAGACATGATGCAAAGTAATGGCATTGTTTGGATTCTGAAACTAACAAAAGCAACTGTCAAAAAAAACGCAATGTTTTTAAGACATCAAGGAAATTTGGATATGATCTGAGTTAAAGCCTGCAATTTGCAACCATGAGAAAGCTAACAAACAAGATAAAATTTTGGAAACTGGTAAATCTGAGTGATGGATATGTGGTGTTTGCCCGGTGATTTTCTACATCTGATGATGAAATCTTTTCATACTGACTTCTCAGCTGTTTATCTGGCCTCCCCAAGACCACGGTCAGGTTGTACCTGCAATCTCGAGAGCCCACACTTTAATGAATGCCTGTTGCATAGCACATTGCCACTAGCCCACATCCCAAGAACTGGATACCATGTAAAGCTGCTGTATTAACAGTTGTCTTCATCTCAACCAGAGTTATTAATTCTAGAGTGAAGACCAAGATGTTAATCTAGGTACTGTTGGTTCCCCAGCCCTTGGAAGATAGAGATGTAGCCATTTTAAAAAAACAAAACAGAAAACTTTCACTTTATTTTTCTATAGGACCACCAGCAGGCCTCAGACCTTCTATGATGGAAGTCATTCCTGTGCCAGAGGAGTGTGCCACATTCCAGTGGCCGAACCATTTTGCCCCAAAACAAGAGAGGTTCGTAGTATTTCTGAAAGTTACACCAAATCATAAGGGCTTGGAATAATGCAAGCAGTTAGATCACTTGGCTGAGCAAGTGGTGCCTCTTCCTCCCTCAAATCTATTTCTTTATTCAAAGTTTTATGAACAGTTGTTTTCCTCTGCCAATAATGCTTCAAAGTTGCAAACTACCTTTTTAGTAAGTTTCAACTTTGTTATCAGGATCCCTTTCAAATACTTTGTGTTGGGTAGCATATTAATAAAGCATGAACATTCTAGAGCCAGATTGCTTGGGATCAGATCTGTTCTCTTTAGCTTAACTGAGTGTAATTGAGAAAATTATTTAGTATCTCTGGGCTTCACCTACCTCATTGGTACAACAAAAGTAATGGTAACATGCACCTCTGAGGACGGAAAAAGCTAATGCAGAGTGTCTCACATCACACCTGTCAATAATGAACATCTAATGTCTAATAACTGCTCTTGTGAATTAAATTACTATTAATAATCTAAATGTGGCCAGATTGGCATCCTGTGCCTTGAGCTGAGTATGTCCATTACCATCCAGCTTTTGCTCCAGCACTGTATCAGAAGTCCAGTGGCAGCTGCACAAAGGGCCAATGATGATACCATATAAGCTGAAGCATCTCAGTGTGAACTCCCAGGGAATAAATAATGTCTACCCACAACTCAAAGGTCCATTGTCTGGTACACATATGCTGCTTTCTTTACAATCTTGGAATTGATTGTCAAGTACAACCCAAAAAATCAAAAGTATTGTCAGAATCAAACTTCCTATTAAAATCTTCTTTGTATGTTAACTTGTAAGAATGCACCTTCCTGAATATGTTAGTCATTCAGGTAATTTAATATCCACATATACAAAGTAGACAGTTTCTTTTAGCTTTCTCAGTGCTATGTAATTCTGGGGATCCAGTTTCATTTTAGCTAATAGCAAGAACACTTTAACCTTTACTGTGGTATCAAAGAAATAGACTCCAGAACTGGGGGAGGTAGCATTTCATATGTGTTCCTGCACATCGTTTCTCTATGGTGTCTGTGAAAGTATGTTTTTACTTGTTTTGTAAAAGAATAACAGATCAATCTAAACACAATGGAACCTGCCTGTAATCCTAGCACTTGGGAGGCCCCCCATGAGTTCAAGGTCAGCCTAAACTGCATAGTGAGACCCTGTCTCCAAAAAACCAATGGGGGAAAAAAGAAGAAAGGGATGTGTGAAGTTCGTCTTTGGTATATAGTGTGTTTCTGGACAATTATCAGTAGAAGATAGCAAAACGATGCTAGTCTTATCTCTGAAACAGATCTAGCTAGGACAAAATGAACTGTGACTAAATTTTTTCTCCCTTTCTGTATGAGGGCAGCTTGGGAAGAAACAGCCTAAGGAAAGAATATAATATGCATGTTAGTATGAAATCTAAGATCTGGTACCAGGCAGCAGGCAGTGACTTAAAGAACTAGGGCTAGATGTGAGTAGGAAGTGCTGATAATCTATATAAAGCACACGTGATGACTACACTGTGGTGGTAGTTTCTAGTAATATAATTTAGCCTCCCTTCAAACCAGAGTAACTTAAATAATAATGAATCACCCAAGCCAGACACACACACACACACACACACACACCCCCCACCGTGAAGACTGAGAGGATACTGGTGAAGGCATTTGTAAAAAATGGAACAATACACCTTCAGAGCATTACATTATCTTATATATTCTAATAGAGATTTTTTAAAAGTGGATGATTCTGCCACTTTGCAACTGTCATTTTAAACAGTGTGGTCTTTCACATATTTATTCATTCATAAAGGTGTCATATCTTTGTTAAGTAGCAAGCAAGTACACAAACTTTTACCATATCCTATTTGTGTTAAAAATCTGTATATATTAAAAGATGAATATATGAGTATTAATATACAAGTAGAGTGTTTTCTAGAAAGCTAACCAAAACACTTGTCTACCTTGGAGATAATGGTTTACCTTGGAGAGGGTTCCTAGGGTAGGGTGGAAGAAATACTTCAAAATAGCATCCTTTTATACTAGTTACATGTTTTGGGAATGGTGTCACTTTAGTCATTTAGAGATACACTGATTCCTCACATATTATATTTAGCCTGGTGACCTAATACTGTGTTGCTTGGTGCCTTGTTAAGATTGTGATGGTTTCAGTAGTTTTGTTATGATTACATAAAACAAGAAGATGAACTCATCCTGCCCTCAGAGCTGGCGTTTGACCCTGTAGTTTGCTTTATCTTTTTTGGGGAGTATAAAGGGTTGGCTTTCTCGGTGAGGCCCCCAGAGTCTGTCAGTGTAGTGCCACATCCACAAACCTCCGATTTCTCCTCCATGCAAGCACGGTACCCACCTCCCAGGGTGATGACAAAGACTGATGACAGGCAAACAGCAGTGATGCTCTTTGCATGTGGCGACAGAGTTGACCCAAGACACAGGTCCCACACTTTATTTTTTAAAGATCCTCAGTGAAATCTTAACTTAGAAAAAGCAGGATGAGAGGAGATAGTGATATAGACTCTTACACTTAAGACCTGTGCTCTTTAGAGAAAGTTTTGATGGGACATTATCTTATTTTCAGCATTTATAAGATAAACACGATGCCACATTACTCATTGTGTACTGCTTGTCATGGTTCTGAATTTGGAGTTCACAAGACCCTTATTAAAATTGTTTTGCCATTGTCGTGGCATGGTATAAGTTATGTATAAGGAAATCAGTTAATTTGCTTATATAGTTAAGACATGCAGATTTTTGGCCTAGATTATAGCTTTGTTTTGACTTTGAGCCGTTTCATTTTGTAAATCTCCTTTGCCAGTTATGTGTGTAGACAGTACCAGTGTTAGTAATCATTAGAAGACAAGTTTAGCATTTATATTGTGTTTGCAAGTTCCTAGCACAGTTCTGTACTATTCTACACTTAGCTCATTTAATCCTCATGATATCTATGAGTCTTAGAGATATACAATACTATTGCTATTTTATAGATGAAAAAACTAAGGCATACGGAGTTTAAGTAACTTTTTTTCCCTCTTGCAGTACTAGGGATGGAACCCAAATCCTTTGCACTGAGCTGCATCTTCAGCCCTTTTTTATTTTTTATTTTGAGATAAGGTTTCTCTAAGTCAATAAATCAGCCATAATGGACTTGTACTTGAAATCCTGCCTCAGCCTCCCAGAGTGGTAGTGTTATAGGTATGCACCATTACACTCAGCTAAGATTTAATTTTTTTTATTAAAACAACATATGAAGCATTGACTAAGAAAAAAATAATAGCCTCAAAAATTGACTTGCATTATTAATTAAAACATGATAAAATGATCATACTTGTTAATGTTTCTAAAAGATACTGTGCATGGCCTTACTACTAAAGGAATATCAAGGTAAGCTTTTCCTGGACACCACCCCCTAAAAAAGATTACCATGCCCCATTCTCATTTACTGTGTGGCTTTGGAACAGTAAGAAGCAAAAGAGTAATCAGTTTCCCACCATAGAAAAGTTTATATAAATGACTGCAGATTCGGCATAATAGCAATGAACTTAACTTCTCAGCAGCTTGAGATATAAAACTCAGCACCAGTCTGAACTATGCGTGACAAGAGGTACTTTGGCTTAGCCTGAGAGATCAAGAGTTAAGACAAAATTTTACACTCACAGGCAAATTTAAATTAAATTAAGCGTAGTGAAGTATATAGAGAAAGGTCCATTCTTGCCCTTGTAGTTGTGACTATATGTGTAAGAGGCTCAGAAAGCATAATCTTGTGTAAAATAAGTCAGGGGCTAGGAAACACTTTTCTGTGGTCTTTTGGGTTCTCTAAGGATGTTACACTGAGAAGTCTGCTTGAAGTTACTAAATCGCTAACTATCCTGAAAAGTAAAACCTTAAATTGTTTATATGCGTATATGTTTTGAGTTTGTGGTTCTTCCCTTCCAGGTCCTGATAGAGACCTCTAAGAAGCTAGGACTGCGGTGCCACCCAAAGGGAACAATGATCACAATCGAGGGACCCCGTTTTAGCTCCAGGGCAGAAAGCCTCATGTTTCGCACATGGGGAGCAGATGTTATCAATATGACCACAGTTCCAGAGGTAGTTCTTGCTAAAGAGGCTGGGATTTGCTATGCAAGCATCGCCATGGCAACTGATTACGACTGCTGGAAGGAGCACGAGGAAACAGTAGGTAGAATTCTCTACCTACTGTCGGGGATGGCTTTCTGAGTGCCATGATTCATTAAGAGTGTCTTAACTTTCTTCCATGTTAGTTTCAGAAAATCCTTCCTACAAGGTTTTTAAGTTGTCATTAGGTGTTACCAGATATTTTCTATAGCTCCCATCAGAAAATAGAAAATACAGAAAAAAAGATTTTATCCAAAAATCAGGAGAGAATAGTAATGGTGGCAGTTATGTTGAGAATCACAATGAGGCCTTTCTTTACAGATAAAGGTACAGTTTGATAATAATTTCCTTGTGTTGTGCTATGCTACTGTTTACTATATTGTTTTCTAAGAGAAATAAAAACTGTGACCTCTTCTGGTAAGAAGACTAGTGTCACTGCTTATCTGTAGGAACTATGACCACAGACAAGTCATTTTTCTTTAGAGAAAGGCAGAACTTGAGCAAACCAGTGTGCGAAGGCTAAGTGTTTGAGGATACAGTATGGTGAGATTTACAGGAATGCCGATCTGATGGCCCGAATCAACTTGGAAATCTGAGAAGCTTTCCTGGCTTAAGTGTAATAAAAAAGCAGGGCACAGTTGAGAGGAGGCAAGATGGTGCACAGTGACATACGGCAGAGCATTGATGGGGGTGGTGATGGCAGTAGGGGGTTCAGTGAAGGGTTTCAGGCAGGGGAGACAGCAAACTACAGTGACAGTTTGAGGAGACTCAACACTGACATCAGACTGCAAAAATGAATACTTGTATTTTGGAAAACTAAGTATCTGTGGAACCCAGGAGCCAACTTCCAGAATTATCAACCATGGCCAATCGTGTGTCTTATTCATGTCCTATCCATATTGCCCTCCCCTGCTTCCATTTTAAAGTAAACATTTTTCTAAAAGCCCTCCCTTGTTTTTAGATAAAGAAAAAAAGGACATGGCCGTAACATATTGTACCCCAGAACTCATGTAACCCCTTAATACCATATCTAGACTGTTGATATTTTCCTTCTGGTCTCATAATTTTTAACAGTTCAATCCAATCAGGATCCCTTGTGATCCATATATCATATGTTAATGATGCAACTCAGATGTGTCTTTTTTTGTTTTTTAAAGAAAAGTAAAACAAGACAAAACAAAAAAGGTAGAAGTAATACAGAATTTCAAAAAAAATATTAACATTAAGAAATTACTAGTTGATAAGTTACATGTTGTCCTCTTAGAAATAGTTGTTCAAGTTACAAAGTCAAAGTGTACAAGGTGGGCACTCAAACATTGACAGTACAAACCATTCTATTCAGTGATCTAATGGAAACTTAGTAATATGGTCATCTATCTTACATACTTAAATATCCCTAGTTATATCCTTTAGAGCACATTCCTTCCCTTTCATTTTTACAATATCTATTATGTATTTTGGATCTTAGTACTCTTTCAGTTTTTATTACTGTTTTATATTAGAGAGATAATGTGATATTTACAAATGTGAGACTTGTTTATTTCACTTATGAGGATAGTCTCAGGTTGCCTCCATTTACCTATAAAGGCCTCAAGACTTCTACGTATCTTGTCTTCCAGTAAATTTAGTGTTTGTGTTTTAATATTTAGATCTTTGATCCATTTTGACTTTAGTTTTGTGCATGGTGGTAGGCCTGGGTCTAGTTTCAGTCTTTGGCATATGGAAAGGCAATTTTTCCAACACCATTTATTAAAGAAGCTATCCTTCCAGTGAATATGTTTAGCCCCTTTGTCAAAAGTAAGGTGGCTGAGTGTCTTTGTAGTTGTGTTTGCATCTTCTCATCTGTTTCATTGATCTTCAGGTCTATTTCTTTGCCAGTATCATGCTGATTTTATCACTGTGGCTTTGTAGTATAATTTTTAAGTCAGGAATTGATATGCCTCCTGCCCTGCCTTTGTTGCTCAGAATTGCCTTGGCTATTTAAGGTTTCTTCTGTTTCCAGATGGATTTTAGGAGTGTTTTCTCTAGATCTGTAAGATATGTTAGTGGTATTTTGATTAGGATTGCATTAAATCTGTATAATAGTTTTGGGAGTATGGCCTTTTTCACAACTTGTTCCTGGTTGGTTCTTCCTAGCCAAGAGCAAGGAATATCTTTCCATTTTCTAATATCCCCTTCAGTCTCCTCTTTTAGAGTAGTATAATTTTCAGCATATAGATCTTTTACATTCTTGATTAGGTTGATTCCTAGATATTTCATTTTTTTAGATGCTATTGTGAAAGACGATATTTCCATAATTTCTCTCTCAGTGAGTTGTTTGTGTACAGGAATGCTATTGATTTTTGAGTATTGACTTTGTATCCGGCTATGCTGCTGAATTTGTTTATTACCTCTAGTAGTCTTTTTATGGAGTTTCTTGGGTCTTCTATATAAAAGTATCATGGCATCTGCAAATAATGATAATTTAACTTCTTCCTTTCCTATATTTATTCCTTTTATTTCTCTCTTGTCTGATTGCCTTGGCTAATATTTCCAGAACTATATTGAATAGGAATGGTGATAGTGGACATCCTTGTCTTGTTCCTGATTTTAGAGCAATGGCTTTCAGTTTTTGACCATTTAGTGTAATGTTGGATGTTGCTTTTTCATAGATGGCCTTTATGAGATTGAGCTAGGTATCATCTATTCTGAGTTTCTGTAGGGTTTTGGTCCTGAACAGCTGTTGGACTTTATCAAAAGCTTTTTTGACATCTATTGAGATGATGATGTGATTTTTGTTTTTGGCTCTTTTGATGTGGTATATTACAGTTATTGATTTACATATGTTAAACCATCCTTGCATTCCTGGAATAAATCCCACTTGGTTGTGGTGTATAATCTTCTTGATGATTTGTTGCATTCTGTTTGCCAGTATTTTATTGAGAATCCTTGCATCAGTTTTCATTAGTGAAATTGGCTTATAGTTCTCCTTTTTGGTTGGGTCTTTTTCTGGTTTTGGTATCAGAGTAATACTTGCCTCCAGGAATGAGTTAGGGAGGATTGCTTTGTTTTCAATTTCATTGAAGAGTTTAAGGAGTAATGGTATCCGATCTTCTCTGAATTTCTTGTAGAATTCTGCTGTGAATCCATCAGGTACTGGGCTTTTCTTTGTTGGTAAGTTTTTAATCACATTTTCAATTTCAGTAGCTGATACTGGGTTATTCAAAATTGTATCTTGTTGATTGAGCTTTGGTAGTTCATATGTTTCTAGAAATCTCTGTATTTTCCACTCTGTGAGAGTAGAGATTTTCAAAGTAGGGATTCATGATCTTTTGAGTTTCCGTGGAATCTGTAGTGATTTCTCTTTTCAATCCTTATTTGTTTTTGGCTCTGTTGATGTGGTGTATTACATTTATTGATTTGCGTATGTTTGTGTACTCCTTGGGTGAATTTGAGTTTTTTCTTTCTTCTTGATAAGGTTGGCTAGAGGTTTATCAGTTTTGTTTATTCTCTCAAAAAACCAGCTTTCTTATCCATTAATCCTTTGGAGGGTTTTTGTTTGTTTGTTTCAATTGCATTAATTTCTGCTCTGATCTTTATTATTTCCTCTCTTCTATCAGCTTTGAGTTTGGCTTGCTCTTCCTTTTCTAGAAGCCTGAGATACAGCATCAGGTTGTTTATTTGTGTTCGTTTTTTTTTCTTGATGAAACTATGTATTGCTATATATTTCCCTTTTAGGACCACTTTCATTGCGTCCCACAGGTTATGGTATGTTGTATCCATATTTTCATTCAGTTGCAAGCATTGCTTTATTTCTTCTTTAATTTCACCTGTAGCCGATTGGTTGTTCAGAAAGTTGTTATTTAATTTCCATGTATTTATGCAGATTTTGCAATTTCTTTTGCCATTAATTTCCAGTTTCAGTGTACTATGGTCAGATATTATGCATGGGATAATTTCAATTCCTTTGCATTTACTTAAGAATGTTTTATGGGTTAATACATGGTCTATTTTGGAGAATGTACCAGAGCAGCTAAGAAGAATGTGTATTCTGATGTGGTTGGATGGAACATTCTGGAAACGTCTACTAAGTCCATTTGTTCACAGATATGATTCAGTTCTATATTTTTTTTTGTCTAATTGCTCTTTCTCTTTGTGACAGTGGGGTATTAAGGTCTCCCATTACAATTGTGTTCTTGGGTATTTGGTTTTTCATGTCCATTGTTATTTGTCTCATATAGTTAGGTGCTCCTCATTTGGTGCATATATATTTATAATTGTTAGTTCTTCTTGAATTTTTCCACTAACCAGTATGTAGTGACCTTCTTTATCTCTTGCAATCATTTTAGGTTTGAAGTTCACATGGTCTGCAAACAGAATAACTACCTCTGCTTTTTTCTGTGTTCCTGTTGCATAGAATATTGTTTTCCAGTCTTTGACTTAATCTATGAGTTTCCTTTTGAGTCAAATGATTCTTTTATACAACATATTGTGGGATACTGTTTCTTTCTTTTTTTTTTTTTTTTCTTTTGGTTCCGGGGATTGAATTCATGACCTCCTGCTTGCCAGGCAAGCACTTAGGCCACTGAGCTAAATCCCCAGCTGGTATGCTGTTTCTTGATCCATTCTGTCACCCCATTTTTTTTGATAGGTGAATTGAGGCCATTTATATTTATGGATATAACTAATATGTACTGGCTCAACTTTATCGTGTTATGTTCCTGTTGTTTGTTTTCTGCTTTCCCCCCTTGTTTAATTGCTTGCCCTGCCTGGTGGTGTCTTTCTGTTGTTGTTCTGGAGATTGTGGTCATTTTTGTGTCTCGCTAGTATGTCTTTCAATACTCTTTCTGTGGTTGGTTTGGTGGACATGAATTTCTTCAGTTGTTCTTTGTCATGGAATATCTTGTTTCTCCATTAAATTTGAAAGACAGTTTTTCTGGATACATCAGTCTGGGTTGAAAGTTGTTTTCTTTCAGGGCTTGAAATACCTCATTCCAAGCTCATCTTCATGTGAGGGTTTGTGCTGAAAAGTCTGCTGTGATTCTAATGGGCTTTCCTTGATAAGTGAGTTGTGTCTTTTCTCTAACAGCTTTTAGTATGCTGTTTTTATGCTGTATGTCTGAGATCTTAATAATTATATGTGTGGGTGTAGATTTATGTTGGTTGTGACTGTTGGGCATTCTATATGCCTCACTTATCTGCATATCAGATTTTTTCCCATGTTTGGGAAATTTTCTGCTATTATTTCTGTGAATAGTTTAGTTATGTCATTTGCATAGACTTCTGCATCTTCACTGATGCCTATTAATCTTATATTGTTACTTGGCATCATGTTAAAGCTGCTGGATTATCATTTCATACTGCTTTGTTATTTTTAAAAGTTCTATCCTTTCATGATCACTATTTGCGATCCTGTCCTTAAGGTCCAAATTCTTATCCTCAACTTCATTGAAATGGTTTTGCCAGCTTTGAATAGAATTTTTTTTGTTTCTTGGATGTCTCTTTGAGTTTGTTTCATGAATTCTGCTTGTTTTCTATATTGTTCATTCAAGGTTTCAATGAGTTTCCCATGCTTCTGTACTTTTTTCTCTATTTCTTGTTTAGCTGTGCTCAGCAACTCCTTTACTAAGGTTATTATTTCCATCTTTACATGGGAGAGTACTTCTAATTTGATTTCCTCTATAGCCTCATGGAGTTTTTTTTTTTTTAATTTTAACTCACTATTTTTCAGAGATTTCTGGTCTGTTACTTCTGAAGTTCTCTTTTTCAATTATTCCTGTACTTGCTCCTGGTGGACTAGATGTTTGAGATTGCATTTTGCCTTTTTGTTTTGTCATTTTCACCTTTTGGGCAAATACTGGGTCTTTCCATCCCAATAGTCTCAACTGTTGGTGGTATGAAGAATCTCTGCTGCAGGGCCTGTTGGGTGAGACCTATATTCTGCCTGGGCTAACTAGCCTAAGAGTACTGATATAGGTCAACTCTTAGTTCCTGCTGTTGCTATTTCTTCAGGTGATTGCAGTTCACCAGATCTCCCTGTCTGTAATGTTTGTGTTAGCTGAAGCCCTGCTGTGTCACTGGGGGTCTCATGAGCCCTCTTGATTTTCTCCAAGTTGGGAGAGGCCTTATTGGCACACTCTTCAACCTGTCTGATGTTCTCTGTGTGGCTGAGGGGATCATCCACTCTGTTGCCAGGTTTGCCAAGGTCTTACAATTGGAGGGAGCTTCACTTCCGCTCCTGTTTACCCACTGCAGACCTCTATTTTAGGGGTAAACTCACCACACTGACTGGAGCCTGCTGAGGTCTTCCGATTGGATGAGGGGTTCCTGAGTCTCCCATCCAGCCAAATGGTAATCCACTGTAGTCCCAGGTTCTGGGAGAAGGGGTGGGAGCCGAAGATCAACAGCAGTACTAGGTCCAGGAGGTGGGAGGGATCCCCGAGGGGCGGGCCCACAGCAGTGGTCCAGGGCATCGCAGGCAGTCAGGGCGTGTTCAGATGTGGCTTTTCATGTGACTTATCCTTCCCTCTTATTTTCGTTCCTCCTCTTTCATTTGAAGTAACCAGATGACTTGTCCTGTCATTTGTCTCATTTAAAAAAATAAAGCCATTACAATATCAAACTACAGTGGGCGACTTTTGAAGGAAGAAGTATAGAGGTGACTGAACACATTAGGGTATAAGAAACCCCTTACACTGGGCTGGGGATTTAGCTCAGTGGTAGAACGCTTGCCTAGCAAGCTGGAAGCCCTGGGTTTGGTCCTTAGCACCAAAAACTAAAAGATAAAAATCCAAAAAAAAAAAAAAAAAAAAACAAAACAAAAACCACAAATGACAAAAAAGAAACCTTACACATTCAGAGTTCTTGTTTCATCACCCATTTGCGCATAAAACAAGAAGGTGAGATATTCTTACCATCTGTGTGTCCATGTGCACAGTTTGGGCGCATTAGATGGACACACGTTTTGCATAAATACCTGGCTTGTTCTGACTCCTCAGGTTATTGAACTGTTAAATATTACAATACTGTGACATAGGAGGAGATTTACAAATCCTGGTTTTAAATCACACAATAATACCTGGCTCAGCAGCTTTACAACTTGAAATAGCCCAGCTCATGATGTCGAAAAGCTGCTTCCAGCCAATAGAAACTCTAGTCCCCACCACTCTCTGACAGCAAATGTTATCCTGCCTATCTCAGCCTGGGTTTTCAGCTCAATCTAGGAACATATGCCTCCTTTGCTTGAAGCAGCAGTGATGTCCTTTAGTAGACCACAGTAAGATTAGAAAGCAGTCGAAGTTACTTTATTCAAAACTAAAGAAACTAAATTCTGTAAATGTTAAGCTGCGAAGACACATTACATGCCACAAGGGAGATACATAGAATGACGTCAGCTGTGACACTAAGCAGAGTTCACTCCTCTGAAGTGAAGGCAGGGTTGGGAGTGAGTGGCCTTGCATTGTTGCTGAGAGAATTAAACTAAATAACAACAGTTGCAGTGCTAGCTTGCAGGAAGGCAGCTGTTAGGAGAGCCATGATCAAGTTGAGGAGAGGTGTCATATTGGGGAAAAGCTTACAAAAAATATTAACTTGAGGTGTAAGCTGAGCTTTGATCAGAGGGTGAGATTTTACTGAGTCATGGGGTCAGTAGGAAGGAAATTTGGGGTGGAGCCCAAAGTGAGAACAAAGAAAAGAGTCTGTCTTTTTCACTGGAAGTGATTAAAAATGCGTAAAAATAAAGTAAATCTCTTGGATGCTTCATTTCCCTACACATAGTGACTCAGCATTGACCGTGCCCTGACGTGTTCTTGCCAAACACCCAGCTGGCCCCTTGCTTTGTGTTCCACAGACATGAGAACTCTCCTCTATCTGCTGTGATGCTCGCATTGTTTTCCTAAACTCTTCTCAATTTTTTGGGAACAATTTGGACTTGTGCTTGAGATAGAAAGGTATGATGATTGTGCCTATGCATCTTAGATTTCTACTTCGCATAGAAAAGCATGAGTATTCTGTTTCTGGTCAGTTTTATATTCACAACTTATTTCAGATTTTCCTTGTGAAGCAGTTTCAGTCACCCATGAGTCCTATCATCCAACCTAAGCCATTATAATATCAGTTTACAGCCAATCACATTTAATCTATATTATCCATAATTTCAATCCAGAAACATTCAGGAAGTATCTAACATAATGACACTATTACGACCATATTTTAACAAAAGTTCTTCACTATACCTGGGCAGAATTCAAGTTGCTAATTAAATGCCATAAATTAATGTGCATTTCTTGCAGGCTTTGTAGAAGGAAACCAACACTTTTGTACTACAGTCTGAATTGCTAAAAGCTTCTTTTTAGAGTAATTTTAACAGGTTTCTCTGCCCTTTGTGTGGTCTATGAATTAGTAGCTGGATCTACAGATCTGAATAAATTCAGTTTCCATAAGTACTTTTGTTTTTCTACCTGTGAGCACATAGTATAATTAGTGGCCTTTTGTTTTGGGGAAGATTGGTTAATTATTTTGTGAGCAGCTAATCCATTAATTCATTGTGAGGCCAAAAAATGGGAATACTTTGATTCCATAATTTTTTTATTAGGTAGGATACTTTTCTAAAGAGAAAATACTTAATTATTTTGTTATCTAATATAGCAACAATTTTAAGATTAATTTATTGGACTGTGTACCTGGAGAGAAGACCTTCATTTCTAGACCTTACTAACCCATTAATAGATCTGAGGTATTGTCTCAGACAAAATCCTAAAATCATCCGTGTTTCTTAGAGATATCACTGGGTTTCTCCAAAAATTCTTCCCAAAGACTAAAACCATCCTGATAAATGCCATGTTTGGGCTCCTGGAATTAAATTTGGAGTAAAGAGATTTTCTAGGTTGAGTTTATCTTAGTCTGTTCAGACTGCTGCAATAAAATATCTTATACACTGGGCAGCTTCTCACCAAAAGTTTTTCACAGTTCTAGAGGCTGGGAAATGCCAAATGTAAGTCAGTGTCTGAGGTGGCCCATTTCCTCATAGTCGTCTTCTCACAGAGACAAAAGGTGTGAACGCTCTCCTTGACTTCTACTCTTGTTCATGAGGACTCTGAGCCTTTATGATCTAAACCCTTCCTAGATGGCCACCCTCTGAATATCCTCACACTGAAAATTAAGGCTTCAACTATCGAATTGGAGAGGAACACACACATTCACGCCACACAAGTTCGTAACTCAGGAAAATGTTCTGTAAACAGCAGTAGACTTTTAAATTCTAATAATATTCCATGCTCTTACTGCTTTAGGTTTCAGTTGATCGGGTTTTAAAGACCCTGAAGGAAAATGCCAATAAAGCCAAAAGCTTACTCCTCACCACCATACCTCAGATCGGGTCTATGGAATGGTCGGAAACCCTCCATAACCTGAAGGTAAGTGTATAAGTAGATACTCTATAGACCTCTGCTACCTTTTTCTGTGACTTACATTCACCCTTGGTCCAGCTCCTCATAGATTTTTAGACAAGCCTGGATTTTTTCGGCTAGTTTTCATGCCATTTACTGCCATACCAAGTGTTTGTAAAATTTTCTGGCTGGTAATGCAAGACCATTGAAAGTCATGGGGAGCAAAATTTTATTATGTAGTACCCCAGAGTCTTCACATTGTCCCAGAGGCAATCCCAATGTCTTAACTCTGAAGAGTAATATTTCTTCCTCTTCATTAGACTTATACCATCAAAGCTATTTTCTCTTGGTTAGATCCATGTAAAGTGTTGGCAAACCATTAAAGGCCAAAACTCTTGTAGAACAATACCAAAATGGAACAGAGGAATGTCTGCTTAAGGTCAGTGTTGCATCAGACTACAATAATTAATGATAATGAGACAAGTTGCATATTGGTAGCTTTCCGACTTTGTTCTTAATTCTCAAAACGTTATTTTTTTTTCCAGAACATAATTTAAACTGACTGTTAAGCTTAGAAGTGCATGACTGTTATCTGTGCATTTTGTGACTCTTCTCTGCATTGATACAATGTTGCCTCAAATTGTTCAATGGTTACATTTATCCTAATACCCAAAAAGAGGTATATCTTGAAGACCCCTGCAGAACACACCTACACTTTGGGGTTTTGTGAGAGTATGAAAAGTTAACAGAAACCCTCCTTGCCTGAGTTACCACCTAAGAACTCAGCTTTTAGTGTGGTACAAACACTGTGCACATTTGACTTACAGGGTTTGCTGGTTACATAGTATAAATGTTCCAGCATAGCCAATGTGAAGCTACCAACTTGGAGACACTTGGGAGTTGGGAAGTAGCTCTGGCATGCTGTTGCAAGTAACTAAGTTGTCTCACCCTTTGGGACTTACAAAATCAGAAATGTTAAAATTCATAACCTACTTCCCTACTGGGAAACGCATTTGTTGGTTTCAGCCCTGTGCACCTAGGAGATAAATGTTATTTAATGCAAATGATACTTAGTGAGTAAGTGTTAGCCCCATTCTCCCATGTTTTGGAGATACTGGAAGCCCTTATTATTCTGATTAGGAAGAAAAAAGGAAACAAAAATAAATTATACAGATTAGCAGATGTTGGTTTAAACTGCAAACAGATGACTTTTTTTAGGTTCTTTTTTTATAAACTGTTCCGTTCAACTGAGTGTATACTGAATATAATGTGGTAGGACAGCAGCATGTCTGTAGCTTGTATAGCAATCATATTTGATTTTTTTGGAAATGTGACTTATTTTTGCCAGGTATCATGGAGAAGGGTTTTTTATTTTTTTAAGTTTCCAGAGTTTCACCATAGTCTCAAGAGTTAAAGGTAATTTCTTACACAAAGGCATTTAGACAGTAGAAATGTTTCTTTTCTGAAGCTTCTCAGCTGTGTGTCACAATGTTTTTGTTTTTGTTTTTGTTTTTTTATATATATGCACTTTTGATGGAGGCTGGTATCTTTCATCAAATTGTCAGAGACTTTAAGAGAGAGAATGAATTCCTGTTGTAGACTAAGCAGCGTTATAGCCTCTGTTCTGGAACATTAGGAAAGCTGTCCTAATTGCTGCTTATTTTGGAGCCTTCTAATCACTGAATTATGTGCCATTCATTTACTCAGCATGTCAGCCTCTAGTTTGGAAAGATATACAGATTTCAATCAAAGTATGGGGTATTCTATCATGTTTTAAATGGTTTTTTTTTTTTTTTTTTTTTTTGTCTTTTTCATTTTTATCGGTACCGGGGATCGAACTCACGACCGCCTGCTTGCAAGGCAGGTGCTTATGCCACTGAACTAAATCCCCAGCCCCTTAAATCTGGTTTTTAACGGGCATATTCCCCTGCTTACAGAACTCAGCATCTGTTTATTTTCTTCCTTTCAGAATATGGCTCAGTTTTCAGTTTTATTACCAAGACACTAAAACAGCTGGCTGGCTAGAAGAAAAGAAGACTTTCTAATTGAATCATTTTGAGAATTTTACTTAATATAGAAGAGAAAAAAGGAAAGACACGCAGCTTTCATGCCCTGCAAAAGAAGAACCTGTAGTAAGAAGGACAAGACAGACAGTGCACATTAGAGGCTTTCCCTAAAGGACTTGGACTATTTGAAAACACAGAAGGAAAGAAATGGGCCACAAATATGAGTGGAATCTTATATTTTAGGGGAAAATGTAAGCAGATAACATTCTCTTTTCCTCCTATTAACTTTACAATAAAGGCTGAGGATTTCCTTTGTTGTCAGGGAATGTGAGGAAGAAATGGGACTCAGTTTATTTGTGTGACTATAAATTTGTACAGTCTTTCTCAAGGGAAGTTTGGTAAAATGCCTCAGAACGCTTAAAAATATGTATGCACTTTGTTGATCACTCATAGGAGTTTCTCTTTAAATATGTGCCAGAATACATACAGCGAACTATGTATAAAGACAGGAGTTCAATGGGGTTAATTATAGTAGCAAGTATTCAGAATAACTGTAATATCCAACAATTGGAGATAAAAATTGTTTTATTTAGGGTTAGATTGTGAGTTAACTACGTTTTCACAAATTCAGTGCCCTAAAGAAGTAGCTGCTGTATAATAAAAAAATTTTTTTAAGTAAGCATTTTACATTACTAGTTTGTTTTAAAATGCCATGTAAATGTATAAAAAAAAACTAGAAGGAAATACACAAAATCTTTTGTTATTGTATTTGAAGAAGGAATATTGAATAACTTTTTATTTGCCTTGCATATTTCTGCATCTATGTTTTTCTACAATAAATGTAATCAAACAATAAAGTTGTAAAAAGAAAAACTGACTTAGGTAAAAGTTTTTTAAAACACTTCCTGTTAAGAAAGCGAACTTCGGATGGTGTTACAGAAAGACATATTTTAAGGAAGTTACATCTGTATTCTGTTAAAAGGAGGCTGATCAGGAGCTACACAGTCAGAACAGTAGTGAGGTTTGTAACAGCTTCCTGAGGAAAAGCCAGGTGTCTTAGACTAAGGTGGCCTAACAAGTTAACGTAGGAAACTAAATATATACATTGTACAGTGTATTTTTTTCTAGCATTTGTTTCAACTCCTTTTTTTATTGCATTAACAAGTTATTTTACATGAGTTGGTGAATTTTGTTTGTAATGAAAAAGAAAGGAAAAGCTTGTTTTTACTCTAAATTTTTTTATTGTTAATGCTTATAGGAATCTTTTCTTGTTCACTGTCTTAGGGTAGATTTTTTTTGCCCTGAGAACTTTTACTTATCTTTTCACTGTGATGTGTTGCAGGATACTTTGGTATTGGGATACAGAGTCTTTTGTTTAAAGAGTCTTAAAAGTAAATCTGTTTGTGTCTTTGAGATTGATTTCAGGATAAGCTGAGTTATCGGGGTTACATGTGACTCTGCCCAAATGCAGGTGGCTGATTATTACAGATCCAAGAAGAGCCTGAGAATCTGAACCAGGGTTCTCCAGCTGTGAACTTTCATTATTTTCACTGGTCTGTAATAGATGATGCCTTACTTTCTTTCATTCTTAGTAGTTTCTGAGAATGCTAGGGCAGAGACATGTGGACGTTTGTCTTGCTGCCTTTAGAATATAATGTTGTCTCCAACGTGGAGAGCTATTTTCTGGATCTAGTAGCCTTTTCTAGCAACCTCATTTGCAGACTTCCCAAATTAATGGAGTAGTAGGCTCCTGGCTTGTTTATTAATCATTCACTGTGTGTATAAAATCAGTATAATTGTCCTACCTTGTGTTTTAGGACAATTCTCAATGCTTTCCAGAACATTCTTCACTCAATACTACACTACCTAAAAAAAAAAAAAAAAAAAAAAAAAAAAAAAAAACTAAGCAAATACGATAGTCACTTTAGAGCATTTTTAGGTTTCCTCCATGGATGAAGAAAATAATGGCTAGAATAAAAGCTCTAGGTCACTGACGTAGCCCACTTTCAATCAATAGATTTGCATCTACTGAGAAAGAAATCTTCACTGGCATTATAATCTCAATATATCAACCAAGAAGAATGAAAGAGTTTGGATCTGAAGGGTTACATTTATTTTATTTTATTTTTCATGCTGGGGATTAAACTCATGACCTTGCACTTGCTAGGCAGGCGCTTATGCCACTGAGCGAAATCTCCAGCCCCAGAAGGGTTACATTTAATACCTGAAAATATTTTGCAAATCAATCTAAGTGTTAGGTTATATTTGGTTTGCCCATAGCAATTTCAGGGGAGTATTGTCCATTTAATAAGCACCCATAGAAGAATAAGAGGACTGGGAAAATATGTGCCTTAGTTACTTTTCTTGTTGCTGAGATGTGATACCTGACACCTGAAGCTAAAGGAGGAAAGGTTTATTTTGGCTTATAGTTTGTAGAGGTTTCAGTCCATAGTTGGCAGGCTCCAAGGCAGGGTGGCATGGCAGAGGGGCATCTCAGAAGAATCCTTGGGTCACAGGCAGTCGAAAGCAACAAGCAGCAAGTCCAAGCAACCTTAGCAGCTTCTTTCTGCCCCTTTTATTTTTGATCTAGACTTACCAGGTTTAGGGTGGGTGCCCAACCAATCTGTGGACTGGTTTAGGTAATCACATTTAATCCCAGCATTACACACTCTAGATCCAGCCTCTTGTGAAAAAGCTCCCACCTATAACTGCATGAGGCTTTGGGAGACATCTAAATACAAACCCTAACACCATGCATTGTAAGTAATGGTCAAAAGGAAATGAGTGTATCTAACCATACAAGAGAAAATGTGGAATCTCATGTATGTAAATAGCTGCTGTTCACTTATAAACATCTCTCTTGCCATTTTGTAAGTTTCCATAAGGGCAGGGACTGTCTTTCTAAATTTTTTTAGCAATATAGAATCCTTTGTATAAATGAAAATCTAATGATACCTCTTAAAACCCTTTATCAGCTTTCCCACCTTCCTCCCCAATCTTGACATTCAGCAGCCTCTTTCACTGATAAAACAGGAGACAGTGTCCAAGGACTACCACCCTGTATCAGTCAGTGCTTACTGGAGAAACAGATTTAATACAACATAAGCAAATATATGAGACTTGACAGGATCAGCTTACAGTGGCTGCCCATGAATCAGGTGTCAAAGTCTGCAAAAGGTCTTTCTGCACGAGGGATCTGAAGGATTCATTCAAAGACCTGGAGCTCACTGTAGTGTCCCATGCAAGTCCATATCAGGAGGCTGAAGAGTCTATGCCAGATACCTGAAGAGTGCTCTGGAAGGCAGGAGACGGTGTCCAAGATAGTCAAAGACACTGAAGGAATCCTTTGTTTCCTTTTTATACAATTCTGATGACAGTCCTCCATAGGGTGGAGTATCAGCACCCAGAACTATACTAAGATAATCTAGTTGGACATTTCTTACTTAAGTAGATGAAATCAATTAATATCACACTCCCCAAATTCAGTTTCCCTTCCTGTCACTATCTATGACAGTGCTTCTTAAGCTTGAGAGTGTATCAGCATCACCTGAAAAGCCTATTAGATTAAATGGTCTCCAAGAGTTTCTGATTCAAGAGTTCTCAGGTATAACCTGATAATTTGCATTTCTAACAAATTTTAGATGATATAGTTGATCCAAGAACCCAACTTTGAGAACTGCTGTCATAGCTATTTCTGCCTGACCATCACCATTCCAAACTTCTGACCTAGTCAAGGATATCACTCTGACAATGGTACATTTTACAATCTTGCTTTTGATTACAGCACACAAATATGCTCTTTAAGGTCAGCATGTGTGGTGATGGAGCCTTGTAGTCAGGATTTATAAAGGAAAAGGTTGAGTATAGGACACATAATTTATAGAATTATTTTATAATATTCACTCAAAAAGTCAAATGTAAAAGAATGCAGGAGGTTTGTCCATATACTAGAGACTCAAAGAATCTAGCAGAGGGCCTGGGTCCCAGGGCAGTGTCCTGCAGCAGTCCAGCTGAAGACCCAGAGGCCATGACAGTGTCCTGCAGGAGTCTAGCTGGAGGCCTAGAGCTCACAACATTGTCTCATGCAAGCCTATATCAAGGACCTGTACTGAGATGGCCCAAAGGTCAGTGGTGGAAGCTAAAAAGTGCACCAGTGGGATGAAGGATGTACCCTAGAGCTAGGAAGCAATGCTCAAGGTAAGGCTCCGAGTTTCCCTAAAGAACAGCCATCCTCAGTGACAGTGTGCTCCCAAGCTCCTCTGAGGATGAGAGTGCTGAGTTCTTATCAGGAAAGCCAGTGTGACCAGCTGCTCCAGGAGAAGCACTAACATCTCCAGTTTCCCTTTTATGTTACTGGCAACAACTTCCATCCCGAATCACGCTGATTCAGTTCAGCTGGGTGTTGCCATTTGACCATTATAGGCTTCAAACATTAATCCAATATTCTCCACTGAGCTACATTCCAACCCCCCCTCCATTAAAATTCTTGACCCAGTTCTGTGTGCTGTTTATCTAATTTTTTTGCCTTTCATTGGATAAAGCCTTTTGAAGAGTTAATCTGTTCTCACTACCTCCAAATCAGATTTTGCCACTGCTTTGCCTCCAACACCAGCAAAATGGCTCTCAACGTAATTCTTTTCCTCTGCAGTATTTGATATCCTGAATCCTATTCTCCTTTGAGAATCTTCTCAAGGAAGCCTCTGAGGGTATTACATCTTGCTTTTTCTACTCTAGCTGCTGTTGCTTCTTAGTCTTCCATGCTGGTTCTTCTCCCTGATCGTAAGGTTGCCCATACTAAGATTCAGTCCCCTTTTCCCTGTATCTGTTTTCCCATCTCAGGTATTGGCAGTTTCCATCTTTTGGGTTCCTCGAACCAAAACCTTCATCTTCTTTGCCCTCTTTCTATAATCTTCATTATCAGGAAACTGAATGTTCCACTGTCACCTGAGCACACTGCAGCTACCTAACAATGGGTCTTCTGATTCTACTCTTGCACCTTATAACAATGCAGAAACCAGAATGATCATTTTAAGACATGTTATTCCTCTGTTCAGACTTTTACTCAAAGCCCAAATCCTCACACTAGCTCATGGTTCTCCCTGTGATCTGAATTTCCCCCCTTACCTCTGATTGCCACTCTTGGTCCCATTTGTCTCTTCTGCTCCAGCCCCACTGGCCTTGCCATTACAAGAATACGCCAAGCTCTCGCCTTTGAATACCAGAGTATTTTGTTTGTGTTTCTGCTACCCAGAAAGTTGTTCCACGAGATAACCATGAGACTCACTACTACATCACCTCCTTTAAATCTTTGCTCAAAATTGAGGTCAACCTCAACCATCCATTTTAAGAGGAGAATGTCCCTCAGTTTACACCCCAAGCACACACTCCCACTAAATGTAAACTGTGAGAGTGACAATCATTTATTGATATCCCAAATGTTCAGATTAGTGCCAGACATGGTTGGTTGGTTGGTAGTACTGGTAATTAAACCCAGGGTCACTCACACTGAACTACAACCGCAGCCCACCTAATTGTTATTTTAACATAGATTGCCACTAAATTGAACTTGTGACCCTACTGCCTTGGTCTTTCAAGTAGCTGAAATTAGTTGCACGCCACTTGGCCTGGCCAGCCAATACTGTCTTTGAATGTAGTTTTCCAATACACATTGCTTGTAAAGTCCAAAATGTCCTGGAATAATCTGACTTATTTCCAGCCTCTTCAGACCTACCACACCTTGTTGTATAATTCAGGGCTGTCTGAAGTAGAATATTAATTAGCATGTAATATTTAACTTTTTAGGGGCCATATTTAAAATGTAAAAAGAAACAGGTGAAACAAGCATTAATAATATACTTAATGTAATACAACCA